TGATTGAGACTTTAACTTGGCGACAATGTTTCAAAGTTCCGTCAAACCCCCACCCCTTCACTAGCGACGACATGACAGAACTCAAAACATCTTTCTGAACTACTTTATTTCAACAGTAGGAAAGGTTCAACATTTGAAACAATCTCATTGGTTTAGAAACAAACACCATTTTACAAACAAGAGACAACAGTTATCAGACGTATTTTTTAGATAACGAATCCCCTATAACATTATAAGGACACATTGATCAAAATGTCTTGTTATCTTTAGATAACTTATAATAAAGTGATAATTAAATTTAGACATAAGGTCATTATAAAAAATAGATCCCTTTGCTAAACTTAGATTCAATAAAATGTAAATGATGTCTTAAGACTAACATAGACAGCAGACATTAAATGCGGGTAAAATATTTGAAAATTCGTAAATAAATCACATTTAGTTACCACTTAAAATTACATTATGTTTCCACTAAAGTGAAAAAGCAAGAGGGTCGCGAACGTTCGTTGTTTTATGTTCTATTCATGAGAATGTTCTTTAAGACATTCAGTAATGTAACATGAATAGTTGTAGTACATGAATATAAATTGTAAATGCATTAAAAATAAATAATTTCAGTAGAATTCCCAACAGTGTTTATACTTCTTCATAATCCTACCATATCTTATTTTAAGATGTACGAAATTATTACCATTATTAGCATCAAGTAAAATGACCCGTTTTGATGCAATTAACATAATTTCCAATAGATAAATGTGTTCGCCATGGTCCATAGTTTACAGTTTAGTATGTAGGAACGGACAGCTTAGTGCTAGTGAATTCTAGGACACTGACTCCCTAAAACCAAAATTTCTGCACATGTTTTAGATCAATGCGTTTTTACGTTTATTTATTTATTTGCAACAACAGCAGCAACAGCAGCAGCAGCAATAAAAGTAGAAGCAGCAGTAGATAAACAACAATAAAAAGTAACAATCAGACAAGTATTAAATGCACCAGGCAACATTGTTCCGAATTGTGTGTAAGTAGCAGACAAATCCTAACAAACCAGATGCATATCTGTCGATTTTTGGACATGATAATCTAATTGTGTTTTATGGTGTGCCCAGTGTATGTTAATTAAGGCGGTGATAATTGTCAAGAATAAAGACAATATCCGTGTTTTCTCACTTATTGGGAACCGTATGACTACATTGATATATTTATCTGTTATGTGCAAGCTACATTATTGCTAAACAAATTTAAGATGGTTGTCAATGAAGTGTAGTTACATGTATGTGTTATTCATTGAAATTTATAATAGTACATTACAATGAATACCAAAGTTTTCTATTTGGCATCATTATTTGAAATAAATATCGCATGAAACGTTTGATTTGTAAAGATATTTCCAGAATGTTCTTTCAAATTTCTATCTTAACCTATTGTGTTTGAGAAATAATTTGAATCTCGACTATTTAACACCGGTTTGGAGTTTGATGTGTAGGAATTATGCACGAAGGCAGTATGCCTGGGTGCTTTTTTCAAATTATTAAACAAAACAAAGAATAAAACAATGTTTCAATTTATTATTCAAGAATTATTTTATCAAGTTTTCCACAATCTAAACATACGTGTCAAACTGGATTATATTGTGTTTCCATCAGTGTCAAATTAATCATTCTTCAAACCCCACCCATGTTAATTTAAATGACGTCATTCTGACACCTTTATGAATGAGTTGCATAGGATGACGTCATTACGCTGCTTACGAATTGGCGCTCTTTTTATAAAATATAAATGTTATCAACTGATATGTATAAAATAACACAAAGAAAAAAGTAGTTATTAATATGACTTGATAGTGAGAACAGTAAAATAACGAAAGAAAAATAATACATTGATTAAACATTGATTATACAATTTTTTGTGGAAAAAAATTAAAGACAAAAGATCAATAGTAATGTCATTATTTTATTGCGTCGAGTGCAGCATAAAAAATGTGGGACTTTTGTGACAGTACACATATCCGTCGTTAATTTGGTCCACTGTTAGTTATTAATTGGTTTGAACAATAAAACGATATGAACAATTTACAGTTCTTAATCTTATCATATTCCGTAGGGATTTTTCTTTTCTTTTTCTATGATTATCACTATCTATGTGTTATTTGCAATATTGTATATCGGAAAGAAACAAACAACAGTCATGTAGTCTAAAGCCACGTTTTTGTGACCTATAGGGCAAACCTATAAAATAATGCGATATTGCACATTTTTGTTTGCTACGATAAATGATGCGAAACTTATCGCAGTTGTTTATGGGTTTTGTTATTTTATATTTTCATATTATAATGACGATATGTTTTACATCAAATTTAGACAGTAAATGATACGCGACTATTCAACTTACCAAAAGAGAAAATTACATAAACATAAACATGAAGTACTGCAAAGATGAAATTGTTCATACAGTGTACCCTTTTAAGAATAAATTGGACTTATTTTGTCTGAATATTGTTTATCGACTTAAATAGTGGTTGCCTTAACGGCACATGGACATTACTAATTAGACTTGTTAAAGAGACATCGAGATGATTTCCAAGTCCAACCACAAACTGCATTTTTCTACATAGACACTGCCTAATTAGAAGGGTTTTTTGGAGCAATAACTAAACGGGTAGTTAGCCGCCGGGCAAGCCAAATTCCGACTTACTTTGTGTATTCTAAGAAACTCTGCTTAAAGTAAGAATTAGCACCTTTCTTACATTTTTCTATTAAATAAAATAATTTTGGAAATTCAAAAACTCCCTTTTAATATTGCATTGATTCAAGAAACACTTTGTGAACCAAACATAATTTTACATAATAAACTACAAAAATGTAAAGTCAGTGCTTACATTAATTTGTTTTGAAATAATCACAGATGAACTAAAGATATACAGAAACAATAAAAAGTAAAACAGCTGCGCTTTAACACGTAACTATGTTTTAACTATCCCCAGTGTGTAGTAAAGAACTATTCAATCAAAGCAAACACGCATATGTAAACTTCTTGATAGGGAAGCTCACGATGAGTGCTAATGTTTCGTGTTGTACAATCATAAAAGAGATATTTGTAACAGATATTTTGAGTATCGAGTTTGAAATGATATATTCATTGGTAAGTGCTTCATCTGACTCAGTCACTATTAATTTACAATAAAAAGCTTTAAATCAAGTTTCAGTATACAATTAAAATTAATAACATTTATGTATCGTTTTAAGAGACACCGACAATGTTGCGGTATATGGCAAGAGATAGTATAAAGATATTTAATATGTAATTATTCATATAAGATGTAAATTTTATAGGAAGAAAAAAGAAGCAAATGAAACCAAAAAAAAGAACATACAAAAAAATAAAAAGAGTTTGTCTCACAAGTAAATTAACTTTTAAATCATATCAGAAAATATTTGCTTGGTTAGAAGAATATAAACAAATAATATTTTTGGAAGCAAGCTGCGTGTCAAATAAAGTATAACACGCATGTGTCCTTTAAGGTTTTTTACGTTAAATTGAACTTCAGCTCTCGAAACCATTGTTTGCGATTTGGTGTTTAGGATAAAATTAGCAATTTCGAAATTTTGTTAGGATTATGGTTTATTTTCAATTGACGAATACCTTTGTTATTTGAATATAGCCATGCAATATAATTGAAAAGAATAAGTGATATGCCTTATTCATTGTGTTTATAGAACATAATGTTAACAATTTACTATTCACAGAATTGTAGGAAAAAATGACTGTTTAACATTTATTCTCTTAAATATGTTATTTCATTTACGAATTCTTAACTTAAAGACAACATTTTAGTTTCAAATATAAATATGAAAGATAAAAAGTAAAAAAATCTCGATTAAATTCCTGAGAGCTGAATCCCTTTTTGATGATGACATGTAGTTTTACAGGTTGTATTGATTTTTCCGACAGAAGACTGTTTACTAATATTAACATTTATATGACATAATGTTAAAAAATTACCATACAAAAAATTGTAGGAAAAAATGTTTGTTTAACATTTATTCTTCCAAATATGTTATTTCATTGACGAATTATAAATTTTAATAAAATATAAATATGATAGATTAAGAGTATTAAAATCCTTAATATTTACTTGCACAGGTTGTATTGCAATCTTCTGACAGAAAACCGTAATCCAATATTAAAGCTATTAACATTTCACAAAGAACACATCATCGTGTAAGTGCGCGGGGAACTTTAAATTATTTAAATAGCCTTTGCCTTCCTATTATAGTCCATTAAACTGATTAAAAATACAATTGTCAACTCCATTTGGTACTTAAAACACGAGCGCGGTCTTATTTGCAGAATGTTTCAATACCGAGGTACATTGATATCCCGTTTACTTGTATTTCAATATTATTTTTTTCCTTTGGTCTGTTATTCAGTTTTGTAACCTTCCTTGAATATAGAGACAAAGGATTGCACAAAGATTAATCCGACTTTTCGGAATTCTTTTTAATAAAAGATGCTTAATATTCATTACTTGCGTAATTCAAAGAATGTTCCAAATATTATTATATCGTTCATAGTTCTGATAAATGTTTTAGATCTTTGTTAACTGTAAGAGACTTTGTTCAACGTGGTATTGTCAATTTGTGCAGTAAGAAGTTTGTTTTTGGTTTAGTTTTATAACGATGCTTTCTTTGTTCTGTGCAATATTTGATGTTTATAAAATTCGTTTCTTTTAAATCAACGGAAAAGTTAACTATGATCAAGCATAATGGCGGTTCTCGTATTTTATCTCTTAAAACAGTTACATGATTAAAAAGTTTTAGAAAAACAGTCACAATAACGCTATTAACCTAGTTCATGTAAATTGCCGATCATTGTTAAGAAATGTTGAGGAAAAAGACACAAATGAAGCATACAAACAATAGATTATGACGCATTGCCTTTTGTCGTCATGTTGGTTTTAACTTGAAAATATATTAAATAAATAAGTTAATATCTTTGTACCGGAACGGTGTAAACTTTAGCGATGCTGCTACTGGTTTTCACGCTTTGCAGAAATTACGTTCTCCGCCTTATTTTGCGGCAAATTAAATCTAATTTTTTCCCGCATCTCTTTGAGTTAGCGAGTAAGTTATGGCCTATTTTTGTATTATGTGATTGTTATAGTATATTTTCTTTCCTTTTCCATATAAAGATCACGTTAATTAAGCATGTAGAGTCCGTTGTGTGTGTAAAATCATAGGCGCTTTTTTGCCGTGCTAGCCGTTCCCATTCCGTACGGTTAGGTTAAGCACCACTATTTTCATTTGGGTAATATGCCACTAAATCATTGTGTGTGAAAGAAAAGATGGTTAAATAGATTTATGTTTTAACTGTTGATTTGTGACAATTTAAGTAATTTTTATACCAGTTGAGTGTTATGTTGGGCTATTTTGTAATGATGCTTGTTTAATTAAGGTGTCATGCCCTTTTGTCTTAGACTAGAACCTTTTGAGATATTTGCAGTATTATTCACTGTATTGCTTTAAAACCTTTTGACATGTAAGGTTGTTACAATTATAATTGTTTGTTTACAGAGATGAGTGTTAAGACAGGAAGCATACTGTCCAGTCATTTCAAGCCAAGTTAGACAGTGCATGACGTAGGTCATTTTTCATATGTAAAACAAATATGTTACTTGCTACATTTTTGGACCATATATTTTGCTTACATACTTGAATAGATTTATAGACTATATTGGTTGTTGATAGAAATATTCAATTCATACTTTAACTTTCTAGTCAGTTGGTAAAACATTATTATTTTTGTGTAGCTTTATTAAATAATTTTTAGTACATCTTTTCTGGTCAACTAGTTATAACTTTGTCTCGACATATCAGAATGATAAATAACTCAAGACTTATTTACTTAATATGTATTTCTTGTTTGTTCCAGTTCTTACGAAATAAATCCATAAAGCAACTTGGGTCGTTTCGTTATCTATCTGTCAGCTAAGGACAGAACAGTAAGAAGTCGGTAGACGTCCAGCTTGATTGGTGTAGTTTCAAAGCAGCAATGTCGGATTCAGAAACAGAGTGATAAACTGTTGAATGACTTTTATGAATATGATGCTAAACTTGATGACTCTGTAAAAGCAGTGTTAAAGAAAATCGATGAGAGACTAAATGAAACAGACTACGTTTCACGAGTATCTGCACAATCTGGCAGAAGTACAAACTCACAAACCAGCTCAGCAAGAGCACGCGCCAAACTAGAAGCTGCAAAGGCTCGAATGGAACTGTCAAAAAAGGAATTGGAATTGAAAACAAAGCAAGCGCTGATACAAGAAGAAAAAACAGTTCGCGTTGCAAAAGCAGATAGAGAGGAGAAGGTTATTCAAGCCGAGTTAGATCTCTTGAATGAACAAAAGATTTTTGCTGAGGCAGAAGCAGAAAATGAATTGTTTGAAACAATCAGTGAGTGTGATCTAGGTAGTTCTGTTGGAATCAAAGAAGAGGAGTCGCATGCTGAAAGAACAGAAAATTACGTGCGTGAACAACTGCATTATGTTAATGACAAAAATCAAAATGTGAACACTGAAGGAGAGCAATCTGAAATAAGACTCAATCCTAGTGCTCAAGTTTATACTCCGATACAGTCTGCAGATATGTTTAAAGACTTTGGTAAATTTCTTGTTAAAAAAGATGTAATGTTACAAAGATTTTCTAAATTCAATGATGACCCAACCCAGTACGTAATTTGGAAAAATACTTTTAAGAACGTTGTTGGGGAATTAGAGTGCACACCTAGTGAAGAAATTGATCTCCTGATGAAATGGCTCGGTCCAGAGTCATCCCAACAAGCAGGCAATTTACGAGCAGCAAACTGTCACGATCCAGTCATAGGTCTAGTGAAGATTTGGGAAAGGATGGAGGAGAGATATGGTGCACCGGAAATGGTTGAAGAAAAGCTGAGAAAAAAGCTAGAGGCCTTCCCGAGATTAGGCAATAAAGATTACAAGAAACTATACGAACTAAGTGACGTTTTGTCAGAGATAGAAAGTGTGAAAGAGAACGATTTGTATGCAAATATGTTAGGGTATTTTGATTCACCTATGGGTGTGAACCCGATTATTGCTAAATTACCAGTCCACATTCAAAACAAATGGTCTGATAGGGGTAGAAAGTTTAAGGTCTCACACTTGGTCACATTTCCACCCTTTACCTTTTTTGTTAGCTTCATTAAAGAGATGTGTAGTTTATACAATGATCCAAGTTTCAGGCATGATCAATCTACACAGAAGGGGCACAGGGAAGAGGCGCAGCAGAGATCTGGAAGACCGTTGCGGATCAATGCAAACAAAGGTGAGGTTAACAATACAGGTAGGACGTGCCCTTTACACAAATACGCGCAACATACGCTTGACACCTGCAGAGAATTTAGGAAAAAGCCCATAGAGAACGAAGGCAGTTTTTAAAAGATAATAATTGCTGCTTCAGGTGTTGCAAGTTTGAACATAGAATTAGGGACTGCAAGTAAGCCAATTAAGTGTGAATGAATGCAATAGTTTGAAACATACAAGTAGCCTACATTTTGATTGGAAACCAACAGAAAAGTATGACAAGCAAAAGGACAATGACAAAAGCAAGAGAGTCCAAGTTCAAGAAGTCACGATAGTGTTAACTCCAAGTTTCTAAATTGTGTGGCAAAGCACTTGTTGAATTTATGTCAAAGGTCATGAAGTCGGGAGCTGCAGAGTTGCACCACCATTGGGCAATGGAGAAGTCTGGTCATTTTGCCAATTTTGGTATATACCATCCTAAAAAACCAGACAAAATTAGAGGCGTATTTGATTCCTCAGCCATCTGCAAAGGAACATCCTTGAACAGTACCCTATTGTGTGACCAAACCTGATCAATAGTCTGTTAGCAGTATTATTACGGTTCCGTAAAGACTCTTGTGCAGTAATTGCGGATATAGAACAAATGTTTTACTCCTTTCTTGTGCAGGAGAGAACCATCGCGAACTACTTAAGGTTCTTTTGGTATAGGAACAATGACCCTGATGACAGTTTGATAGAGTACCGCATGTGTGCTCACGTGTTTGGAATAGCCCATCACCAGCAGTCGCTAATTACTGTTTACGAAAGACTGTTGAAGATGCAGAGAAGGATGTAAATGCCTTTGTCAACAACAATTTTTATGTAGATGATGGCCTTATTTCCCTACCAAATACTAATGACACTATAAGCCTCATGAAGAGAACCCAGGCTTGTCTCAGTACTGCCAATCTAAGACTCCATAAGATAGCCTCTAACAAAAAACAGGTCATGAAGGCCTTTCCTGAAGAAGACTTACAAATGATCTTAAATCACTTAACCTTGATGTAGACAAGCTACCTGTGAACCAGAGCCTTGGTTTGTCTTGGGAACTAAACTCTGATAGTTTTAGATTTAGCCTGGAACTTGAATCGAAGCCTTACACACGCCGTGGTCTTCTCTCAACTCTGAATAGTGTGTACGACCCCCTTGGTTTTGCAGCGCCTTTCACCATTCGCGGAAAGATGTTACTCCGAGAAATTACTACAGGCTGCGACTGGGACGAACCCCTTAATCCTGATTTACAGACAAAGTGGGATGCCTGGAAACATTCTTTGCTGTCTCTGCGTGAACTCACAATCCCACGAATGTACTTACCTGAGTCATTGAGTATGTGTATTGACAAACATCTGTGCATCTTCTCGGACGCATCTGAAAAGGCTGTAAGTGCAGTAGCGTATATAAGGTCTCAGAGTGACAGTGGTGAAGTTTTAACAGGGTTTGTCATTGGTAAGAGTAAGTTAGCCCCTACACATGGTCATACCATACCTAGGTTAGAGCTTTGTGCAGCCCTCCTAGCAGCAGAACTAGGTGAGACAGTTATCAGTGCCCTTGACGTAACTTTCAACTCTGTTAGGTATTACACCGACAGCCGTGTAGTGCTTGGTTACATCAACAATACAACCAGACGTTTTTTCAACTATGTATGTAATAGAGTACAGAGGATTCTCTTCTTAACGAAAGCTGACCAATGGCAGTATGTGAATACAAAATCCAACCCCGCTGATATTGGGAGCAGAGGATGTATGTCCCCAGAACTGTTGACTACTTGGTTACAAGGTCCAGACCTTTTGCAGACTGCAAAAATGGACACTTCTGAAACCTTTCCCTTGATCTTACCGGATAAAGAGGTACGGCAAGCAGTTTCTGTGCTGAAGTCCTCAGTAACTACGAGCACAGCAGACCACTTTGAACGGTTTTCTTGTTGGAGAAGACTGGTAACAGCATTTGTTGTCCTTAAGAGAGCTGCTAGAAACTTTAAATCCCGCAAATCATCTGATTTGAACAAATCTGCTTGCGACAAGATATCTACATTGGTGGACTATCGCAAAGAAGCAGAACTCTTCATTGTTAGAGCGAGTCAGTCGAAGACATATTATGATGAAATAAAGTGTCTTCAGAAGTCAAAACCAGTTGATAGGAACAGCCCAATTGTTCAACTTAATCCAGTTTTGGACAAGGATCAGATAGTTCGTGTTGGAGGCCGTTTAGGTCTTATAGATAGCTCCGTACTTTCTAAAGACTTAGTGAAACCAGTATTGTTATCAAGCAGAGATTACATCTCAACATTACTTGTGCGTTACTACCATGACCTATGTAACCACCAAGGACGACACATTACTGAAGGAGCTATACGTAACGCGGGATATTGGATTGTTGGGGCCAAGAGGCTTATATCACGTATACTTCATAGATGTGTAACTTGCCGTAAAGGTCGTGGGAAAACAGAACATCAGTTGATGGCTGATTTACCGACAGATAGGCTAGTTCCTGGTCCTCCTTTTTCTTACGTAGGTGTTGACGTCTTTGGACCCTGGGAGGTGGTAGCACGACGCACCAGGGGAGGAGTTGCTCATGCAAAACGTTGGGCTGCACTTTTCACATGCTTAACCACCCGAGCAGTCCATATAGAAGTTCTTGAGGAGATGTCCAGCTCATCCTTTATCAACGCATTACGCCGCTTTATCGCTGTTAGAGGGAATGTTAAAAGAATTCCGTTCGGACCGTGGCACAAACTTTGTCGGGGCGATGGATGATCTGAAATTTAACGTTGTAAATGTTGAAGATGAACCCGTGGCGGACTGTCTGGCTAAGAGCAGTGTTACATGGAAATTTAACCCACCTCACTCTTCCCACATGGGTGGAGTCTGGGAGCGAGTAATAGGGATGTCAAGAAGGATATTGGATAATGTCCTTTCAAAGGCTGCAAACAAGCATTTGACACATGAGGTTTTAGTGACCTTGATGGCAGAGGTGATGGCCATTTTGAACTCAAGACCTATTGCACCGATCTCTAACGATCCAGACAATGTAGCTGTTCTGACTCCTTCAATTTTATTGAACCAGAAGATTGATGGGGACCCTTCCATTTGTTTTGACTTGGACCTCCCAGACATGTACAAGAAGCAGTGGAAGATGGTACAGGTTCTTTTCTGACTTGTTCTGGAAACAGTGGAAGGACAACTTACCTCAATACTCTTCAATCAAGGAGAAAATGGCAAAAGCAAGAAGTGAGCATCAAGGATGGAGATGTTGTGCTATTGAAGGATAAGACTATTGTTCGTGCAGAATGGCCTGTCGGTGTGGTGTTAATGCAATACCTAGTGAGAGTGACAAACTTGTTAGAAAAGCTGAAGTCCGAGTCTGCAAACATGGCAGATGTAGCACTTTAACTCGCCCAATTACTGATATGATTCTTCTTGTTAATTAAGACTTAATCAAAAACACTAGATATAGGATTTTGTGCTTAATTGATGTTTACCTCTGTTAAAACATGTTTTTGGTTACTAGTATATTACTTGAACTATGTGTACCTGCTTGATTGATTGTACTGGCCAGTATGTGTGACTGCTAAAGTGTATGTATGGTGTATGATATTTTTTCACTTGAATTGTATCTTTTCATGTTTTTTCTGTAATATTAGTTGTGTGACTTGTAAATACCTATGTGCATTAGTAAATTTTGTGTCAATGTTGAGGACAAGACTCATATC